GGGCTCGAACTCACAGACTCACAGATCATGACCCGAGATGAAGTCGGATGCCTAACCGACTGAGCCACCCAGGTGCCCCTCCACCCCCAGAAATTCTGATGTAATTGATCTGAGGTGTAGTTTGGGCTTCAGAATTTTTAACAGTTTCTCAGGTGATTCTAATGTGCAGGCAACGTTGAGAATCAGTGTTCTAGAACAGTGCTTCTGGGGCTCCAGAAATCATACAAATAACCGGGAGACCCTATTATACTGAAGATTCTGATTCAGTAGGTCTGTGGTGGGGTCCAGATTCTTCATTTCTTTCTTATACCTGTGTCCTAAAATGGCAGCACGCATAAAATGCTAATGGGACCCAAAGGAGGGGTATTACTGCCTGGGGAGAAAATGGGTTAAGCAAAATAACTGATACCTCCCTAGCCTGAGCATGGGTTTTGGACTCAGGATAATACAATCTGTTCACACCAAAACAGATCTCCCCTCCCCCTGCCTCTCCCCCCCACCCCTGCCGCAAAGTTAACTACCCTCTCGAATGCTCTTATCTAAGAAAACCCAATTTTCATCACCCCATGCCCCATCTGCTAGCTCTATCCTTCTAACTCAACCATATACTTCAATTATATCAATTCTTACACTACAGAGAGAGTTCCAATCCATAGTTCCCAGCACTTTGTATTTTGTCTATGTATCGACCTATCTATATACCAGTATCTATCACCTTCCTATATAACTTTTCCTTCTTGCCTCCCAAAGATTCCATGGTGCATTATTCCAATCACTTCGTTGTAAACACCCTCACTTGCCCCTGTGATCTTTATCCTTAGTTAAATCCAACCATTCTTTTCCATGTCTGCATACTCTTGACTGAAGGTTGAGAAAATCATACCAGTATGCCATCTGGACTGTATATATTTTTAAAGTTTATTTATTTTGAGAGAGAGAGAGCAGATGACAGAGAGAATCCTAGGCAGGCTCCCTGGCACTGTCAGCGCAAAGCCAAACTCAGGGCTCAAGTCCACAAACCGTGAGATCACGACCTGAACCGAAACCAAGAGTCAGATACATAACTGACTGAGCGAGCTACCCAGGTGCCCCCAGACTACTTTAAATTGAAAATGGGCACTCAACCGTGCTGGCAATAGCACAATCTTTCCACAGTTCACCTTCTTACTCTCAGAATATCTCTCTGGTCTTCTCACTCCTCCAACCTCTTTTACCCCCTCTTGCCTCATTCTCAGCTGAAGACCTCATCTCATTTTATTAAGAAAATGTATGTGATCTGGTTGGAACTACTTTATCCCCCCACCCACACACAAACCACCTGCATCTGAATTCATCTTATGTTTTTCCCTTGTGTTAAAAGGATGGGAATCTGGGTTGTTTTCAAAGGCCCACTTATGCTTTGGATCCATTCCTTCATTCTCCCCTATAATTTCATTCCTGTAGGTATTCCCCTTTTCTCCAACGTCAACAATTTCTTTCTGTACTACATCATTCCCACCATAATATAAGCATTTATCTGCCAGCACAACAACAGTAAAAAAAATTTCCTTTGCTCTACTTAACCCACCAGCCACCATCTTATTTCTCTAATCTTCATCCTCCTTCCCACCAAAAAAAAAAAAAAAAACAACCAAAGAAACAAAACCTTAAGACTTGTTGCTGATTGTTCATCTTTTGTTCTTCAACACACTTGTCTTTCTGTCTCACTACACCTTGAAATTATTCTTGCCAGAGATTCTAATGATTGCCATGTTGCCAAATCCACTGGTCATTTCTGTGTCCTCACTACTTCACTTCTGTGCAGTATTTACCATAGTTGATCACTTCCTTTCAATTGTAAAACTTCCTTCTCTTGAATTCTATGACATCACCTTCTTACCTCACAGGCTGCTCCTTCTTGGTCTCTTGCTGGCTCTTCTTTCTTCCTCCTCCGCCTAACTTTGAAATGTTGGAGATTCTCATAGACCAGTTCTCTCTTTGAAATCTGCTTAGATAATCTCATCTAGCCCCAAGGTTTTAAGGTTCATATATAAACTCATAATTGCCAGTTTTATGTCTCCAACTGAGACTCCATTGCAGACCAATATATCCATCTGTTTACTTGACATTATTACTTGGGTACCTAACAGGCATCTCAGACTTGATTATTGTCAATGCCTACCAACCAAAGACCACTAGGAATAAAACTGTAGTTGAACAAGTTGGGTTTATTGTTTCAGTAAGTGAGAATACCCACCGTGGAGAACCGTGGGTATCTCAGTAAGAGTGTTAGAAGTTTGGAGTTGTTAGGTAATTTAGGGGAGGGTTCAAGGAAGAGGAACTTTATTCTGGATTGGAAGTTGTAGGGAGGCAGGAGTAATTTTATAGTTGGGTATTTTAATAAGGAGTATTATTTACTGGGCTGAGACTATAACTATAATAGGTAAAGAAGCAGCAGTCACTCATATTAGCCCGGATAGGAAAACATTTGCTCATTTTTGTGGTTTGGACAATGTTTTTGTTTTGCCTATGTTCAGATATGATTACAGATATAATTACAAAAATAATTTTTATTTTTGTCTTGATTTATCATGGTCAGAGTGACTTTGTCTGATGTTGATGTTCTGTGAATTTACAGTCACACACCCCGCCAATACACCAAGTTCATTTCTACCTTTGCACTTGCTCTATCCTTTGCCTGGCAGTCTCTCTTTGTTGGCTCCCATCATGGTGCCTCCTTCCTAGTCACTAACACATCCTTCTACTTTCTTTCAGAGCACAGATGAATATCTGAAAGAGTGTTGTTCTTCATTTGTTCATTTGTTCCTTACTGGAATTTGTTCCTCCTTACTGGAATTTTACTTCACAAAGAGATGGTGGTTCTCTGTGGTGTTCACCTGTGGAACCTCAGCCTCCAGAAACCTGCCTCGCAGCCACAGGCTCAATAAATACACTGACTGAATCAGTGTTTGAATGTCTCTGGGCTCATTTCTGCGAATAAAGTCATAAACAACCAACAGTTGCAGGTTTTGTTTGTTTTACTGAAGTAGGGCACTCAACAAAAGGAAGTGAAAAGCAGGGGGTCGGGAAAGTAACCACCTTTTACTCAGAGTGTGCCCGGTTTCTTGTGTGGCCACGGTATGTCAGGATGTGTCAGTACTCCTAGAACCTGAGACTTTTCTATTTCTGAATTATCTTTCCTGATAATTGGGCTGGATCCTTAACCTCACGGTTCACTATTCTTTAGCAAAGAATCATTCCCGGGCTTTATTTCTGTAACCGCTCTTTTAACCAACCATCGCCTAGGGGAGAAAACCCAACCCTACCGCGCAAGCGCTCAATGGCTGATGCCGCGGCACCGAGGCCTTTACAGTGCGCATGAGCAACTAGAAGCAGCTAGGCGGGAAGTGTTGCGCAGGCGCTTTTGGCAGAGTCGCTAGGTGGGGATCTCTTGGCAGCGGCGACCCAGGCAGCTGGGGAGCCACAGAAGTCGTATTCCCTTAAACTGTGAGTTTCCGACGGTTTGTTCCATGGCGCGGGATTCTGAGGGACTAGAAACGAATTCTGGATCGTGACTTCGGTCTTGTCGCAGCGCAGTAACCCATCCTCCCACCCCTGTTCGGATCCCGCTGACCCACGGCGGGAAAGTCATGCGCCTGCGCACTAAGCATCCCATTGGGTCTCGGGTCTGAAGGAGGAAGGTCCTTCCCCGCTGAGCTCGCGGCCGGTGCTCCCAGAAGGATCCCATTCATTCCCTCTTTCTCTCCCCTCCGCTGATGGCCAGTATCGGATCAGTTCTCCATCAACTTGCATGGGGCCTTGAGCGAAGCTCCTGTCCCTCCTTTTGAGTACTCATTCCTCCTTAATTTCCCTCAGGTCAAACCGCTCTCCCCGTAAGGCCTACCGTACCCCGCCCCTGCTCCCCTATTTTCCAGCTGGCTTGTGTCCCGTCGCGCTGCCGTCCCAGTTACCGCCACCACCCTTCGCTCCACCGCCGGCCGCCGAGGCGACTCCCCTGACTAGAACATTTTCCCCTCGCCGCCCCCCCCCCCCCCCCCCCGCCTGTGTTGCTGTAAGGTAAAAGGGAAGTAAATGTAATCCTTAGAAACGGCCCACAGTTTTACCCCCTTTGGGGATTTTGACATAAGGTGCGCTTTTAAATATCTGCCCCTGTGGGGACTGGCGTTTTTTTACTGCTTGGTTCAGTGAGTGATTTAAACTTCTCATCTTCTCCAGTATTCTAATTTTCACAGCTGCTTTGCTCCCCCGGTGGACATGACCCCTTGGCTGGCATTTTGCATCCCAGTTGTTTTGTGATGGAGGCATCTTTGGGGATTCAGATGGATGAACCAATGGCTTTTTCTCCCCAGCGTGACCAGGTTCAGGCGGACGGCTCGTTAAAAAAACATGAGCAGAATTTTAAGCTACCAGGTATGTGTTTAATTCCAAGGGTGTGCAGGCAACAATTCTGTGATTTCGGTTATTTTTTTTAAAAGGAACTTCCCGAATGGTAAAGTGAGTTGTATGTTTACATGGGAGTGTTTTACATATCAGTAAAGCTTCCTGAGGTCTAGATTTAGGATTGGATTGCATTTTAGAAGGATTGTAATCCATCCATGTCATTTTACAGAAGTTGCTAGAGTCTAAACATTGGTGGTTATCCAAGAACAGTTTGTTGATACCCAAACTAGAATTTCTTCTCCCAGATCTCTGTTCTTATCTGTCTTCATATTGCATTAAACTTGGATTTAGAAGTCGACGATGGAGGAATTTTCACCTGAAGTATTGAAAAGCAGAATTCACTGACAAATAATGAAATATATGTAGCAGTACAAAAGCACTGTATCTCAGTGTACATCTCAGTGTTGTTTGACCTTAACCCAGACCCTGAAGTGAGGAGAGGATCAAACAATACCTGATCTTATACACTAAAATGTGTGCACCTTCATTCCTGCTCTAGCAGTGCCTGGGACATAATGGGCATTTAATAAGTATTTGTTAAATAGAGGAGTTCCAGGTGACCATTTCCTTTTTCCTAAAAGATAGCTAAACCTTCTTTTCCATCTTTGTTTTAAGCATGTTTTGCTTGTCCAGAAGATACTAATTTTGACCTTCTATCCACGAGATCTATTTATCCACTCTAGAAAAATGATATCACATGCTTTTGCTTTCTGACTAAAACTTAAACTCTTCTTTGGTGTCAAAATGAGTACCCTTTCTAATGTCCCAGTTGTTCCAGTTGCCTGTGCTTAAAAACTCTAGAGTTGTCTTCGACTTAATGATTTATATTTGCTTCTCATAAGAAATTATCCAACTTTATCTTACTTCTTTTTTAATATGTATGGCATTGCTTCTTATTCCTACTTCCACCACAGTAATCTGTTCTCTTACACCATGCTCCTGAATTACAATGAAGTTTCTTACCTAAACTGCCTGCTTTCACTTCTTTTCCATCCTCCAGTTCATTTGGTACACTGCTACTAGAATAATCTTAAAATGCCACTTCATCCAGTTTCATGGTTGCTGTCCCTCTTCCATTTGTCCTGTTCTTCACAATTCAGCTTTCTCCTGTGTCATTGGACCCATAATACAATAACAACAGTCATTGTGTTAACCTTCTTGTATCTTTTAGCACTCTGTATATTTTGTCTTTTCATTTATACTGTAAGCTCCTTGAAGGCAGTATCTCATATAGCTCCTGGTGTATCTTGTGCTTTAGACAGAGTGTATGAACAGATGAATCCGACATGGCTTTAGCATTATGTTCAGGTGAAAGCTACTATTCTAATATTCTGAAAATCTGGGAAATAAAGAGTAAAGTGAATTGTAGTCTAAATTTCTAAAGTTTTGTGACTTTTTTGTAACAGAACATTGAACCTTATAAGCAGTACCTTTAATAACTCATAAAACATGCTGAAATTTTATTCATACTTATTTTTAATATGATGCTTAGTAAAAGCTAAGGTTATATAAAAAATAACTTCAGTAAGGAGTAAAGCTAATGATATCCAGGCCCATAACTGTCTCATGAGCTAATATGATTCACTTTCTCTTGATGGAATAACTTTTGAATGGTAGGACCTTTTTGTATATCTTTGTATTCCCAGAACCTAATAGTATCCAGCACAGAGTAGGTGCTTAAAAATACATGAATGAATGGTTTAAGGCAAGGATATAAAGTAAAATACTTAGTGTAATGGATGAATAACATGGCCCTTTGTTTTAGGATATGTCAGCTGTTGTAGCTCTTTTTTTTAATATAAAAAGTGTATGTGATTATTGATGAAAATTTAAAAAGTGTAGAAAACTCAAATAAGGAAATAATGTCCAAGTTTTATACATTATTATACAAATATTGCCCCGTTGACCTCCTGTTACAGTCCTTTAGTCATCCTGTGCATAATGAGATACATTTCAAACAAACAAAACTAAATTAGGATCGTAACCAACTTATTTCTAGTCTTTATTTTTTACTTAGCAATATGTAACTTGAACATTTCTTATGTAAATTATCTACAGCTTGGTTTAAGTTGATTGGCTAATGTTTCATTGCATAGTATGCTACAATTTATTTAATTACCCTTTTTAGTAAACCTTTAGATTGTTTTCCATTTTTTCCTATTAAGAAAAATGCCACAGTGAATAAAATACTGGGCATAATATTGTATCTAATGTTTACTTTCCTCTGTATTGTTGAACTATACTATAAGTTGCGCTTGTGATGTGTTATATGGATGCTCTTAGCTCTTGCTACTAAAATGGGTTATAGTATGATGTATGTGGGACAGATCCAGTTTATGCCTGTTGTCACACTGTAATTGTTATTAGTGTCCCCTTTCACTCTCAAGAGTGCCTAAGTTTGGGCTAAATTATATGATCTTCCTAGCTTAAGAGATGTAAGTCAGACAGTACACAAAGCTTCAGAATAAGCATCACATATATTCCTAGAGTGGCAGTTTTACTCCGTTGTAAGTAATTGAAAACATTTTGTTTATATGATGACTATTAAATATTATGTGCAATTACTTTTCTAGGTGCTGGAATAAATCAGTGCATAAAACAGACAAAAATCAATGCCCTCAATCTACTGGAAAGATAGATGATAAAAGAAATAATATGTTCAAAGGTGGTTAGTATTGTGAAGAAAATATAGAAGGGAAGTGGAGATAGGAAGTGTTGGAGTAGGAGATTGTGATTTTTAAGAAGTGTAATTGGTCAGAGAAGACTTCAGTGTGGTAACATTTGAACTAAGACTTGAAGGTGGTAAAGTGATGAGCTACATAGATATATGGGGGAGAGCATGCCAGGCAGAGGAGACAGCAAGGGAGAAGGCCCTGAGATGGGAGTGTGCCTAGCATTTAGGAATAGCAAGGCCTTGTCCAGGTCCTCGTCACTGGAGGCTGGAGGGTGATGGGAGTGATGGCAAAGAGAGGTATGAGGAGAGGAGGTAGTTCCTTCACCTTTATATGAAGCAAGCTGTGAAACTCTTACTAGGTTTGAGCAAAATAGTGACATGGTGACTTAGCTTTCTCAGGATCACTCTGGGTACTATGTTACGAATAGATGGGACAGGCCAGCAATGATGAAAGTTGAGAGCATAGTATTAAAGCCACTTGGATATATTATGTAGCAGGAAAAATATTTTTCCTTAAAATTTCAAAATGGAAGCTTAGACCTTCATGTTTAAAGTATAGGCATTTAGGGGTGCCTGGGTGGTTCAGCTGGTTAAGCATCTGACTCTATTTTGGCTCTGACAGCACAGAGACCTGCTTGGGATCCTCTCTCACTCCCTCTCTGCCCCTCTCCCACTGGCACCTACTCTCTCAAAATAAATAAACTTTAAAGAAGAAATAAAGTATAGGCATGTAAATGTTTTTGGCTTGTAGACTTTTCAGGATCTTCCCCCGATGCTCAAAGTATATAGTCATTCTCGTCTCTGCCTTTAGTGGTGTTTTCTGTCATTTAACATTAATGTTCTCTTTTGCTATTTACTCTCATCTCCTTCAGAAATGAGGATTTTGCATTCAGTTTGGTTGTCAGAAAGTTTTACTGTTGTTTGAAAATGTCAGAGTTGTTCTGTAGTGACAGGAAACTAATATAAACATATTTTGAGTTTTGTAAAGATACGTAAGTGCCTAGCAAGTTAGTAGTGGCATGAAAACACCTTGAGCTTACATAGTCCTTCACGTGGCTTGTGTATTACAGTAGTTCCTTATTACATGTATTTCCTCTCTGGTGATTTCTAATAGTTAACCAGTGTCTCTATTACTGACTGCCAGCTCATGCTAATACAAAGGGAAGTTCCAAAACATAGAACTCAAAGAAAAATTCATCTAATCTAACCTCTTTGATTTTCAGGTTAAGAAAATGAGTATTAATGTGGTTTAATGATAGGAGTTGAATCTGGGCTTTCTTCTATTTCAGCACCCAATAGTACCTTCTGTAATAATGGAAATGTTTCTATGTTGTCACCTATAGCTAATACGACAGGAAATTTTTAATTTTTTTAAGTTTTAATTTATAAGTTTAAGGGGCACCTGGGTGGCTCAGTCGGATAAGCGTCCAGCTTCTTCTCAGGTCATGATCTCACAGTTCCTGAGTTTGAGCCCTGCATTGGACTCTCCATTCTCAGTGCAGAGCCTGCTTCAGATCCTTCCTCCCTCTCTTTCTGTCCCTCCCTGCTTGTGCATGTGCACTGTCTCTCTCAAAAATAAACATTTACTATAATAATAATAATAAAATCTTTAAAAAATAAATTTAGTTACATGACTAGAAGACAGCACAACTCTGTATCATATGACTACAGAGCTTTTAGTATTCTCATATATACACACACACAACAAAACATCCACACAAACACTTCAATACATTTTGTAGTAAAGAGACTACAAATAGGGTTCTTAACATTTCATTGTATATAAATACCATTGATTTAAAAAAAATTTTTTTTAAGTTAGTTTATTTATTTTGAGAGAGAGAGGGCACAAATAGTGGAGAAACAGAGGGAGGGAGAGAATCCCAAGCAGGCTCTGCACTGTCAGTGCAGGGCCTGATGCAGGGCTTGAACTCATGAATCGTGAGATCATGACCTGAACTGAAATCAAGAGTCAGATGCTTAACTGACTGAGCCACCCAGGTGCCCCTAAATACCATTGATTGTTAGATAACCCCATTTTATCTGCTGCTCAGAAATGCTGCCAGTTATACTATGACACAGTGCTTTCTTATCACCTAGAATTTTTTATTTTATACTTTTTGAAAGAGTTCTTTTGGATGTAATTAGACAAATAATTGTGTATCTCAGGTACATAATTAAAAAGGAAATTAAATATTTAACATCTTTCTTTTCTGAGTCACTTTGAGTATAGTCACACTCATTGACACCCCATTTTCCCCCTCATAATGTTCTCTATACATTAATGATGCAGAATTTCTTTGAAGAATTCATTTTTTAATTACCATTTGTTAATGCACTCATAAGAGCCCAATTATGTGGAGCTGGCCTACATTTGATTCTGCTTCATCACCTTTACCACTTTTCCCTACAACCGTTTGCTCTTAAAGGGTTAAATGTGAATGCTCTTTTATGATTTCTTAGATTTTCATCAAGTCACTGATACCTGTTCTGTAAGTATTGATACTGGCTGACAATAATTGTAAGTTGCATCCCAATTTCAGAGTTTTTAAAATTGTGTTTCAGAATCAAGGACATGTAATATAAAATTGAATATATCATTTTTATTACCCTTTCATGGTGCCTTTCCTGTGACACCGGAATTTGAAGCTGGTTGGAATGGACACCCATTAAGAAAGATTATAATTGACTATGGCAAGAGTGACTGCTAGAGGCTGGCTTTTCCCCCCTGGCTTTGGTTTTGGTTTCTAGAGTGAAGTAGTGTGGTAGCGTATAGTGAGGTAGCTGCTACTGTCTTGACTTCTTCACCCTTTTGTAACGTCTAAACTTTTGCTTTTTTTCCCGTCAGCTATCTCTGAATGCCCATAATGATAGTAATAATTCATTCACTGAACAAGCATACCAGGCACTGTTCTAACTAGGAGCTGAGTGTACTGTGGTGAATTATGCACACAGGGAACTGTACTGGTGGAGCTTATGTTCTAGTGGGAAGAGGCAGAGAGCAAACAAATAAACAGGATGATTTTATAGTGGACAAGCACTCCAAAGACAATAAACAGGGTAATGAGAGGAATGCTGTTTTAAATAGGATATCAGAGAAGAACTGACCTTAGAGCCAGCCACATGAAATAATAAGGGAAAAAGATTTCAAGTAAAGGGTAAAGCAAAAGTGCTAAAGAAATAATGTTAATAACTACAACAGTAAGAATTACCACTTTTACTTAATATTTGCTATGTGTCAGGCATTGTGTTAAAAACTTCTTATGTATATTATTTCTTTAATCCTCACAGTATCTCAGTGGCATGGGTACAGTTATTACCCCTTTTCTGTGGTTGGGGAGACTAAGGCTCAATGTAATAAGCTGTGTGCTCAAGGAAAGTCGTACCTAGTCTGGTAAATAATAGCCACGATTTTAATTTAGTCCTCTCATCTCCAAAACTGTTACTCATAATTACTGTTCTAGTATTGCCTCGTGTATTGAAACCCATGAAGCTTCTCCAGTTACCCATGAAGTAGATGGGAAAGTAAGTTCTTCCCATTTCCTTAGATGGATTGATACAGTGGAAAGAATACTAGATCTTCTTGGACTAGATCTTGGCTTGTTATTTAGTTTCCAGCTCTTAATGTTCTTCTTCCCCCTCAAATTCATCCTCTACTTGTCATCTTCCTGCTTAAAAGTTTTCCATGGCTTTCAATTGCATTCTTTCCCTCTCCCTTCTTCAGCCACATTGAATTTCATTACCTCCCTCACCGACCTCTCCCCTTGGATAAAATAATCCATGCCTTTTTCCTTTTCCATTCCTTTGTGTACATAGTTCCTTCTTCATAAAATGCCTTCATCCACTTTTCTACTTGGTGAGTGCTTCAGAACACAGCTTAATTGTCACCTGGAGCTTGCTGTATTCATTCCCCTCCCCTTCCTTATATCTAGTAACATATGCATTCTTGTGTTATTATAGTTACTGTCTTGTATTCAGAGCTTTTAACACCTGACTTTTCCACTAGACTAAACTCTTAGAGAACAGGAGTTGCACCAAATTTGTTAATTTTTTTTTTAACATTCCCATCGCTGAGCATTTTTAAAAAATTTATTTTGAGAGAAAGAGTGGGGGAGGGGCAGAAAGAGAGGGAGAGAGAGAGAGAGTCCCAAGCAGGCTCCCCAGTGTCAGCATGGAGCCCAATTCGGGGCTCAATCCCATGAACTGCAAGACCATGACCTGAGCCGAAATTGAGAGTCAGACACCCTACCAACTGGACCACCCAGAGGACCCTGAGCACTTTTTAAAACACAGTGTTTGTTAAAAGGACACATAATTTCACTTTCCTAAATAGGGTTTTCTTATCTGAAAATCAGGATAATTCCTGTTTTGCCAGTATCCCAGTGCTGTTGTGAAGATCTGAAAAGATAATACATGTGATGTGAAAGTGGTTTGAAAATGTCTTAAACTGTTATATACATTATTTACATTATTACTATTATAACTTAAAAAGTAGCTGATGTTTGTCTTAGGTACTGTAATAAAATCCGATAACTCTTAAGTATGTAGTTTTCTTTTATATCCAGTAGTTTATCACGTTTGGTATTACTGCCTTTCTTATTTTAACCATGTATATTTTTGTAAAGAGTTTATATGTATTTAAAAGTAGCAGTTTATCTTATCTGGTCTCAAGGATAAAGGATACTATTGATAATTGGGATAGTTGTTTTTTTAAAAATATTTTTAACATTCCTGAGAGCTTTGGTAGAATTTCTCTCTGAGGGTACACTGTGAATACTCAATATATAAAACTTTCCCAAGCTTGTAAGATTTTGTATCTTTGGGGAAGAGAAATAGTTTTCAAGAAAATTACATTGTGTCCTTGTCATGCCATCTAGTGATCACAGCACAAATTGTTTAGTTATTTTTTAAATTAAGCTTCTTTATTGTGTTGTACTCTATGCAGTGACAGTGTATCTGTTAATATAATTCTGAGTAATAGAAATTTGATGTGTGTGATTCTGGGACTTAACAGTTTTATGTTTTTTCAAGAAGTGTGTTACAGCAACTTAACAGGGTTTTAAATATTTTTATCATGATTTTAAAGTTTATTATAGCTACTTTTTAACTTTTTAATTACGTTTTAGAATTTATTTCATTGAGGTTTTTTAACTTAAAGTATAAAATATACTTTCATTAATTATAACTATAAATTCTTTTTCCTTGATAGGTGTTAAAAAAGATATTGAGAAGCTTTATGAAGCTGTACCACAGCTTGGTAATCTATTTAAGATTAAGGACAAAATTGGAGAAGGTAACTTAAAGATCTACTTTATTTATAAGTTTTTTCCCTTATGTTTTGCTTTGTATAATCTTGATTTTCATTACTATTTCCTTTTGAAAAGTATATACTTTTTAAAATAATAAGATCATGGTCATATTACTAATTATGACATCAGGTTTTCTTTTTCCCCTGGAAAGAATGAAAGAATAAATATTTACAGTAAAATCAATAGTCCTATTTTAATCTTTATGCTGTTATACCATTAAAAGTGTTGATATACTAATATATTGTTAAAGATAATTATTGAAAATGAAAAATTTAAGATTCATGTGGGGGAATTTGATCAAGGAAAGTCCTCCTTTTTCTTTCTCTGTTGTAGTTAGGTAGAACTGTATGTTGAAACAGAACTCTAAGGTGACAAAATGATGGAGATCAAGTGGTAACAATATTTATAAGATGGTCAGTATCGACATAAATGTCATTGAGAGACTGGCAGTCTTGTTGATTAAATGAAGGGTGAATTTATCACATGTGAAGTGAATGAGAAGGTAAAAGATAATAAAAGGTTTTGGTGGCTATGTTAGGAAATGCCTAAATAGTTAAAAACAAAAAAGCTTCCATTTACTTCATTGTTTGCTTTTCACAATGAAAAGTGTCAAATACAAAGAAGCCTAGGTCATTGGGCAAAAAAATTAGAAGGTGAGATGTTTTGGGATGTAAGAAGCAGATCTTTACATCTTTACCTTTTTTGAACACTGACTTAGTGTTCAAAAATTTTGTTCTGGAAAACACTGCTGTCCTTCTAACATTAATAGCTATTCCTGGAGAGGGGGAGGGGAGAAGGGTGTTCTAAGGCTAAATAAGTTTGGAAAATGTAGTATGTATGGCTCCCTTTTGGTTATTTGTGATGTACTTACACAAAGCACACAAAGCTCTAGCTTTGGAAATTTTTGTAGTAAAGAAATTTATCAATTTGTTTTAACTCAGTTTTCTCAAATTTAACTGACCACCAGCTCTTTTATTTTTTCTATTTAGTTTAATGCTAAATTTAAAAGCCCAGGTGGTTTTGTAGTTTTTTCCCCCCAAGACTGTTAACAAGTCTACTTCTAACAGACCTGTATCCAACTCTAAAGGAAGTAATTTCAAATGACAATATTATAGAAAAATACTTGCTAGAATGGATCATGACCATGGAAATATTTTATGCTAACCCAGGCAGATTTACTGTAGAGCTTTGGTAAATTAATATATCCCCTAAAGAATTGAAGACAGTTGAGAATTTATTAAAAATTGAAAGTCCTATTTTTAGATGTTTTTGCTCTTCATGTATAATATCTTTAAATATATTAATGATAGATTAGGATAATTTCATGGGCTCCAGTTTTAGGATCTATTTTAGCATTGTTTCATTAACATTTTTAAAAACCAAATATTGAAAAATTGAATACATTGTTTTACAGGCACTTTTAGCTCTGTTTATTTGGCCACAGCACAGTTACAAGTAGGACCTGAAGAGAAAATAGCTCTGAAACATTTAATTCCAACAAGTCATCCTATAAGAATTGCAGCTGAACTTCAGTGCCTAACAGTGGCTGGGTATGCATTATCTTTAACTGAACTGCCTGTATATTTAAGATTTTTAAGCGGATATCTAACAGGGGTGGTTAGATTGTCCATGAATTCAACATATTTTACAGTCAGGAGTCTGCAGTTTGGTAGCACTTTCCCCCTCTAATGTTGGGATAGTTAATTAAATTTATATTTTTAGAATGGGTTATCCTTGAGGCTCAGCTTGACTTCCTGTTCTCTGACCACTTCTTTTTCTAATCTTCCTGCCAAGTCAAACCGTGGTCTAGATATTTTTTAAAATGTAGGGAACTCCTATTTCACATCTCCCCAGCTATTGACAGCCCCATCTCATATTGTATTTTGAACAGCAGAATCATCTGGCATGTCTTTCCCATTGGTCTTTCTCTTCTAGGTCATTCCTGTCACCAAACATACATGATCTAGTATTTCTTATCCCCCTGTACTGCCATCCCTCTTCCAGCTGTTTCATCATTTCTTTGCTGCTCTTCCCAGCCAGACCTCTCAAAAATGATCTATACATACTATTTTCACTTCCATACCCTACCTTCACTACTCTCACTGTGTGTCTACTTTTCTCCATACTAAACTGAAACCACTTTAGATAAGAGTCCACTGTGACTTCCATCTTGCCAGTTTCTTTTTCTGTTCACATGAACCCTAGGCAGAGTTTAACATAATTGATTTGAACCAGTGTCTTTTGACTTCTATACTGTCACATACTTCTTGTTTTCTTCCTGCTTTATTTGGCCTTTCATGGTCAATATCTTTTGCCAGTTCTTCCTCTTCTACGTGACATCTAAATGTTGGAGTTTCTTGGTGCCTTATCCTAGGCTCTCTTGCTCTGTACTCTTCCCTGGGTAGTATCATGTATTTCCATGTGGCTTTAAGTGTATGATAGTGATTCCCATAAGTGTATATCTTGCCTCAGACCTCTTACCTGCAGATTTGTATATACCCACCTACTGATTTGACATTTCTACTTGAGTACCTAATAATTATCTCAAACCTAATGTGCTGAAAATTAAATTTTAATACTCCTTTGCCTGCCAGAACCCCCACAAAAACGCCTATTACAACAGCCTGTTTTCATCTGCTCATCTCAGCCTCCATCATCAAGTCCTGGCTATTTTTGCCTCCAAAATGTATCTAAAAACCCATTCATATCTATTTTCTCAACCACTACCTCAGACCAAACCTAGATTACTACAATAGCCTGCTTCTTCTCTTTCCCCCTGAATCCCATGGTCACAGAACAGCTAGAGTAATCTTTGAAATATAAAAATTTGTATGTATGTAATATAAATTGTATACTTTTATTTCCCCCTCTTAAAATCCTTCAGTGGTTTCCCAGTATTCTTTGAAAAAAAAAAATCCAACCTTATATCATGCACTCTTCCCACCTCCCTCTCTGTGCTCTAGTCACTTTAGTCCCCTCAGATTTGTCTCGAGCTTTCTCATCTCAGGGTCACTACCCATTACGGTTCCCTGGTCACTAAGTCCTCTCCCAGTTTTTGCGGGCTGATCTTTCTGATCTGAGCAAGCTTCAAAGATGTCATCTGAATTAAATTAGATTCACCTGTTTGTTATTGTCACAGCACCTTTTGATCTCTTTCAAAACCCTCATAATCTGTCCTTTGTTGTCTTGTTTATTATCTGTTACTGTTCATTAGATAGTAAACTCCATGAGGGCAGAAATCATGTTAAGTTTAATTCACCTTCCCATCCCTAATATCTAACATACTGTCTGCCAAATAACCATGCCCAGTAAATATTTATTGAGTGAATGGACAATCCTATTTCTTTGTTTTGCCCCTATGTTTATTAGAGAAGACAAAAGAATGAGATGGCCTCTGTAAGGCATAATTACATACATTCTACTCCCTTGAATAAAATTGTTCCTTTTTCCCTGTTTTAAATATTTTTCTCTACCACTTTTCTATTCCATGTACTTCAAAAAAAGTTCATGCTAAAAAAAAGTCTTTATCTGATCTTGCTTCCTTTCTAGCTCCCACACTGGTTTTTCTTCTTTTCTTTGCCAGATATTTTAGGCAAATTGTATGTTCTACTTCCAGTGTATCTTATTTTCCCTTCTTAAGTCCTGTTTGGCCTCTTAAATTATTAAATTAATTTAAGTTTCCACTTACATTATTCTCAGAAAAATTACCAGTTAATTCCTCTTTGCCAAACTAAAAGCCTTCCCTCAGTCCTTATTCTCTATGACCTTCATACTGGTGACTACTTCTTTTAAAACTCCTCATCTGGGTGACATCCCTTTCTGGGCTCTCTGCCCCTTTTTCCTTCTTTTGCCCTCCAACCTGGCAATTTTCCAAGGCTCATTGGCTCTTCTCTCTAATCATTTTCACAGCTTTAGGTATCACTTCTCCACAAGCACTGTCACTGACCTCTCACTTCTCACATAAGATTTAGTTCTGTATCTAGAACTTTTTATCAAAAACAGGGAGGTCTTCGTTTTTGATGCTTCTTTTCCTGATCTCTCTACATTTTTAGGTGGTATCCATGTTGTTCTACTGACTCAAAACCATGTAAAGTTAATTTCTTCATCTTTTATGATGCAGTATAGCATAGTAGTTAAGAGCATAAGACCTAGAGCAAGCTGTGTGGATTCAGATCCTGGCTCCATGACTTACTAGTTTAGTTAAGTTCCTTAACTTAACTTGGGAAGTTCCTTAAGCTCTCTGTGCCTTAATTTCCTTAATTGTAAAAAAAAGGGGGGAGGAAATAATAGCACTTTCCTCATAGGGCTGTTGTGAGGATTAAGTGAATTAGTTAATAGATGTAAACTGCTTACTTAGATCAAAGCTTGGCAAATATAGTGAATGCTCAGTAAATGTTAGCTATTATTTTTTAATTAACTTACTCATTACTATTGCCATTTTATCTGCTACAAAGGCTTATTAATTCATTATTGTTTTTCATCTTGTCCTTCTCATTCTGTTACTTCCCCAATTAAAACTAATGATCTCATGTTTGAATTACTATACTAACCTCATAAATGGTGCTATTTTTGTACAAGTCAGTTAAACATGTATACTGTCATACAAGAGCGTAGTTTTAAGTAGTTTTCCAGCATTTTATGCATAGCTAAAGTTGCATTTTTAAAGAAACTTAGCATAAGGTTTCATTTCATTTGACCTTTCCTTTAAAGTTCATTATGCATTTTTCCACTAGGGGGCAAGACAATGTCATGGGAGTTAAATACTGCTTTAGGAAAAATGATCATGTGGTTATTGCTATGCCGTATCTGGAGCATGAGTCCTTTTTGGTAGGTTTTAATACTTACTGACTTTTTATTGGCTAAATATTTAATTGAAAGCAATTTTATGATCTTATTCATAACTTTATTTTAGGACATTTTGAATTCTCTTTCTTTTCAAGAAGTACGGGAATATATGTTTAATCTGTTCAGAGCTTTGAAACGCATTCATCAGTTTGGTATTGTTCACCGTGATGTTAAACCCAGCAATTTTTTATATAATAGGCGCCTAAAAAAGTAAGTATGAAAAGTTACTAGAAGATATTTACACTTGAATGAATTTGTGCTATGGGGTTCACCTGGGAGATAGAGAACATACTATAACAGCCATGCACAGATTTTTTTGTTTTAAATTTTCATTGTGGTTGGGGAATGGAAATACAGTGAAACAAAAGATAAAATTATATTAGTAAAGCAGTGTCTGTTATTAGATACACCATGGTTCAGTGGAAATAGCACTTAGCTAAAATAAACTTAAAAACGGTATAGGTCTTTTGGGGCGCCTGGGTGGCGCAGTCGGTTAAGCGTCCGACTTCAGCCAGGTCACGATCTCGCGGTCCGTGAGTTCGAGCCCCGCGTCAGGCTCTGGGCTGATGGCTCAGAGCCTGGAGCCTGTTTCCGATTCTGTGTCTCCCTCTCTCTCTGCCCCTCCCCCGTTCATGCTCTGTCTCTCTCTGTCCCAAAAATAAATAAACGTTGAAAAAAAAAACAAAAAAAAAACTGTATAAGCCTTTTTAACTTTCACATTTCTCTTATCTCTGGGCTTCATGAGGGAATTAGAGCACATGATAGCCAATTTCCTGTTTCAACACTGAAGTTCTGTTATTATGTAAGTTTGTATTGTATATGTTTATATACATATATGTTTTTTATACTGATAGAGGTGTTGTAAAGCTGAAAACCTGGCTTAAATACTGTTTATTATATGATGGATCCTACTAAGAGTGGTAGGAGGTATAGAACTATAACTTCTTGGATTTTACACTTCTGACTTTTCTCTTTAATTTTCTTTAATTGAATCAAGTTTTAAGCCTGTGGTTTTATTTTATTTTTTGAGAGAGAGAGCAAGAATGGTGGAGGGGCAGAGAGGAGAGGGAGAGAGAGAGAATCCCAAGCAGCAGGGAGCCCGATGTGCAGCTCAGACCCACAGATCATGAGATTATGACCTGAGGCAAAATCAAGAGGCAGGCGCTTAACCAACCTGAGCCACCCAGGCGCCCCTAAACCCATGATTTTAATTAATTTTTCTTTTAAGCTTGTTAATTAAAAAGTATCTACTGTGATGCCATCTTAACCATCATAAGAGAACAAAGAATTGGGCTTATATCCTGCAGTCCTTGTCTGTCTTGTCAGCACAGGCCATTGGAGAAAAGGGAGAAAGATTTTTGTGTGTGTATGGGATGTATCATTCCTTAATTTTCAAGCCTAGTTAGCTTTTTTTTTTTTTTAAATTTTTTTTTTTTCAACGTTTATTTTATTTTTGGGACAGAGAGAGACAGAGCATGAACGGGGGAGGGGCAGAGAGAGAGGGAGACACAGAATCGGAAACAGGCTCCAGGCTCCGAGCCATCAGCCCAGAGCCCGACGCGGGGCTCGAACTCACGGACCGCGAGATCGTGACCTGGCTGAAGTCGGACGCTCAACCGACCGCGCCACCCAGGCGCCCCAAGCCTAGTTAGCTTTTATATCGTTACCTTGGCTATACACTCATTTTTCTTGTCTTTTTTCAAGAATGTTATAAATTGTTTGTTTTTTTTTAAACGTTTATTTATGGAGAGAGAGTGGGGGGGAGGGGCAGAGAGAGAGCGGGAAAGAGAATCCCAAGTAGGCTCCCTGCGGGCAGCACTGAGCCTGATGCAGGGCTTAAACTCATGAACGGGGAGATCATGACCTGAGCTGAAATCAAGAGTTGGACACTCAATCGACTGAGCAGGTGCCCCAAGAATGTTATAAATTCTTAATTCCCTAAAGAATTATACTTTTTGTGTAAATATGATTAGAGCATATTATGATGTTACTATGCTTTAGTTGTTACAAAGAAGTAAAAATGCTTGCTTTTGTTTCTTAGGTATGCATTGGTAGACTTTGGTTTGGCCCAAGGAACCCATGATACCAAAATAGAGCTTCTCAAACTTGTCCATTCTGAAGCTCAACAGGAGAGTTGTTCACAAAATAAATCCCATATAATCACAGGAAACAAGATTTCCTTGATTGGCCCAGCAGCACCTAAGGAGCTCGATCAGCAGCCTACCATGAAGACCGTGAAAAGGCCCTATACAAATGCACAAAGTCAGATTAAACAAGGAAAAGATGGAAAGGTTCTACCTCTTTTATTTAAGTATTAATACGGTTTTAGAAATGTACTTCTTTATCCAACAGAGGGAGATATAATACCAGGATAATACTTGCAATTAAAAAATTTGTTTTTACATTTGTTACATATTCAATTGATTAGATTCCACTAAGATTTATAATAGATCATTTCAAAACAAATTACTTGGTAGATTTATAATGTCTCTATAATGTTACATTATGTAACAAAAATGGAAAATAATTTTTCCCTGCATGTTATAAAGTTCAGATTAATTATCCTTTTTTAAAGAAAACATTAGTTATAGAGGAAAAATTCTGAAGTGTCTATCTCCATTTTAGCTGCACAGCAAAATGTAACATCCATGCAGGTGGTTTTTAAATTTTTTAGTTATATATATTTGTGGATTATGGTAACAGTTATATGGGTGTTAAGAGTTCTGTCTAGACTATTTTCTCCTTTCACAGAAGTGTTTTGGTGCCTGAGAATGACTTGGATGCAGCTGTTTTTGTTTCATGTCACTTAACTCTTTCAAAACTGGCAGAGTACAGCTGGCAGAAAGTGTTACAGATATAATCCTTATTTTCCTTGTTTTTGTTGGTATTGTAGGAGGGATCTGTAGGCCTTTCTGTCCAGCGCTCTGTTTTTGGAGAAAGAAATTTCAATATACACAGCTCCATTTCACATGAGAGCCCTGCAGTGAAAGTAAGTAATGTAGCTTAATAGTGCAATCATCAGTCAGTACACTGAAGAGAATTTAGGGATTGGTAGACTAGCATTTATTATTACTCCGTTTTTAAAAGTAGAGTTTTGCTGTGGCAGAAGGTATTACTGCTTTGAGCATCTTGTCAACACTTTTATTTTCTCCAGTTTTTTTCCTGAACTTTTCTGGTGGAATTTTTCATCATTTTTGGTTAGCTGACTGCTGTTGCTGTTTTCTAAAGGAACATTTAGAACATTAAGGCCTTTTCTCTCATTACTAGGATGTGAGCTCCTAATAACTAACACATTTCTGACACACAGTTGATGGTGTAAAGATGTTTGTAAAGTTTACAAAATTGTCATCAGTATTAAACGGTTTTAAATTGACTTACGATATCCTATAACAGCTAGATAGCATAAGCAACAAATTAAAACTGATTTTAGCCAATGTAATTGTGCAGTTTACAGTTCTGAAATGGAGTTAGACACTAGAACGTAACTGTTATACTTGTGTAACCTATCAGGAAAAATTCTAATAAAGTGTAAGTCACATATTTACCAATTGAGGACTGATTAGTAAATTTTAATACATTTATTCCACAGAAGAAAACTAAAAAGATTTTAAATACTTTAATAGACAACTGTTTACTTACAATCCAACAGCACACTCAGCACTTTTAAAAGTTAGGTTTCTACTGTTACGTTTTGCCATGCTAGCATTTGAAGGCATTAGGTTAAATATCACAGAAATAGGAAATGCGACTTTTCTTTTACAGCTTATGAAGCAGTCAAAGACTGTGGATGTACTATCTAGAAAGTTAGCAACAAAAAAGAAGCCTATTTCTACAAAAGTTATGACTAGTGGTGTGATGAGGAAAACTGCCAGTTCTTGCCCAGCTAGCCTGACCTGTGACTGCTATGCAACAGATAAAGTTTGCAGCATTTGCCTTTCAAGGTAATGTGATTTAATGCTGCTACCAAATCATCAGCATGCTGCCAGACATGATTAGAAATTGCATTGATTTGGTGGGCAGTTGATTTAGTGCAAGGAAGAGAACAACACGGTTCTGTGAACTACGCAGACACTAACGTGGAGAGGTACGATGATGAGCAAATGATAACTATTGTCATCTAGTGTTCATTTGACATGAATTGCTCATTGGAAAACACATTTTCTCTTGTATGCAAGTAATTTTGGTGGGGGCAGGGATGGTTTCTTTGGAACCTTGGATTTGCACATTTTACTTGCTGATTTAATCTTTTGTTACCTTATTCCTGCCTGTGTAGAATAATCAGAACCAAATAATAGGGTGTCTCTCTCACTCCCACCTCCTACTCTTAGTCTCATAAATTCCTCCCTTTCTTTCAGAACTTGCATGAGCTTTCTTGAGCCTTTCCTGATTAACTTAAGTATATAAGTCAATAAGTATGTCAAATTAATTTTCTAATATCACTCCAAACAGAAGTGATTTTTATGCCTCTGAATTCTATTGCATTCAATTCTGGTGTATTTTACTTTTCTCTTACGGTTCTTATAATCTGCTATCTCCTTTTACACCTGGAAGTTACCTTAAAATTTTTCTGGAATAAGGCCTGGTAACTTGAGGGGTGGGGAGTGGGGGAGGGACCAATAGGAAGCAGAATCTAGGATTTTCATCACACTAGATTATGATTTGCTTTATAAATAACTTATTTATATAGATATCAAGGCAGAACTTATTGTGAAATAAATAGATAAATGTTACTTTTTGGTCTTAAATAATTAAACTTTAACATAACTAGAAAACTCTTATTTCGTCATCATAAGGCGACAACAGGTTGCCCCTAGGGCAGGTACACCAGGATTCAGAGCACCAGAGGTTTTGACAAAGTGCCCCAATCAAACCACAGGTATGTTGCACTAGAAATACAGAACCCAATTAGAATTGGTTATCCCAGGTATATTTTATTTTATGACCTTTATGTTTTACTAATATTAAGTTTTTCTGCTTTTAATAAGTTATGTAAGTAGTTCTAGCAGTGTGGCAGTCCCATTTTTGAGATAATGCTATTGAAAATTTCTACTCCTAGTGTTGGGTTTGTTTTTGCTTTTTTTTTGTTTTTTTCTTGTAACAGACTTTTTCCTGTACAATGCATCTTGCTTATCTATTTACAAGATGATTTTGCTATGAATTTTGTTAATGTCATATTTGTAGAGGAAAAATTGTGTTTAGTAGTCTTTGCTAACTTAAGACTTGCAGCATTTTATCTGTTTGCCCAGTACCCCCCAAAAGTCTTCTGTGCTGCACTGCACATAAGATTGTGTATTTGATTAAAATTATTTTTTGTTATTGTGAAAATAATACAGTAGAATTAAAGAGTTAAAGAGTTTTGAAAAAGGAAAAAAATCTAGATCTACCAAAGTTGTCATGAAGCCAGAACCCAGGAAAAATCTCATTGAGTAAATGAATCCTGCCATTCCCCTAGATAATGGACTTGAAAGAAATGCATTCGTCCATTGTGTGTATTCTGTACTTGCTAATGATACCAAAAAAAAAAAAAAATTATCTGCTTATACTCTCAAATAATTGTAACCTGTTGAGCATGATTGTAAATCTTTATGTGAGGTATTGTAGGGATATTTATTCCTTTTTGAAGGGAATATGGAAGGAAGTTCATTGAAGAGAAAACCACTGAGAAGAGAACTTAAATTGGAGTAGGTGGTTGGCATTGATGCATGAGCAGAGAATCTGAAGAAACAGCATGGTCTAGTCTAGTCAATAGGAAACAAGTTTAGTGTTGCTAGAATGTAAGATGGAAGTGAAGGAATGGTGAGAAATAAACCTGATAATAGGTAGGCAAGTCAGATCACACATGTTAAACAGCTTGGACTGTATCCTATAGGTGTTGGGAAGTTATTCAAGGGAAAGAGATGGTAATAATTATGTTTTTTAAGTTTATTTATTTTTTAATGTTTATTTATTTTTGAGAGAGAGAGAGAGAGAGAGACAGAGCATGAGTGGGAGGAGGGGCTTAGAGAGAGGGAGACACAGAATCGGAAGCAGGCTCTAGACTCTGAGCTGTCAGCACAGAGCCCATTGTTGGGCTTGAACCCACAAACTGTGAGATCATGACTTGAGCTGGTGTCAGCCACCCAGGTGTCCCTTATTTACTTATTTTTGAGAGAGAGAGAGCACACGTGCACAAGAACAAGGGAGGGGCATAGAGGGGGAGAAGGAATCCCAAGCAGGCTCCATGCTGTCAGCTCAGAGCCTGACACAGGGCTTGATCCCACAAACTGCAAGATCATGACCTGAGCTGATATCAAGAGTCAGATGCTTAACCCGCTGAGCCACCCCGATGCCCTGATAATTATGTTTTAACTGCATTATTGTGGCAGGTATGCAGACAGCATAGGTTTTGGAGAGTTGGGGCCTGCTGTGGTCCAGGTGAGAGATGATGAAAGCCTGAATGAGGGCACTAGTAATAGGAATGAAAAGAAAGGTAAAGGAAAGGCAGAACTTATTGGATAACTGGATGTGAGATTTGGGTGTGGGGTGGTGAAGGAAAAGGCACCCAGGATGTTTATCAGATTTCTAGCTTGGGGGACTTGAATGGGTATCAGTAGCCAAGGGGGAGAATAAAGAAGTAACTGGTTTACAGGGAAAGATAAGGTGGATTGAGGCATAATTGGCTTGAGATATTGGTGGGGACACCAAGATAGAGATGTCCAACAGAGTAAAAGTCAAACTTAGGGAAGTTTAGGCTGGAAATACAGTTAAATGTCATCAGTATATAAAAGATGGTTGAAGCTGTGAAGTAGATGGGGTCAGTCCAGGGAAGAGGTTGGAACTGTGGGGAACCTCAGCCTTAAGGGGTGGGGAAAATGTTGAAGGAGCAGGCAGAGCTACAGAGGGAACAAAGAAAGGCAGGTGATACAATGGCCAAGGTAATGGTGAGCAAGTAACTTGGTGATACTGGGGGGTCAGCAGTTAGGAGGCATGTCCCTAAAAGAAAAAATTAGTTTAACATGAACCTGTGCTAGTCTTTTTTTAAAAAAAAATTTTTTTTTTAACATTCATTTATTTTTGAGACAGAGAGAGACAGAGCATGAATGGGGGAGGGGCAGAGAGAGAGGGAGACACAGAATCCGAAACAGGCTGCAGGCTCTGAGCTGGCAGCACAGAGCCCAACGCGGGGCTCGAACTCACGGGGCCGTGAGATCATGACCTGAGCCGAAGTCGGACGCTTAACCGACCGAGCCACCCAGGCGCCCCGAACCTGTGCTAGTCTTAATGTTAACTGTCAGAATTCTGTCAGATTAAAGATTGTATAGCAGAAGTTAGGGTAAGCACCTGGCTGAAGAAAAGCTTCTAATATTCAATACTTTTCACTAAAATAAGCCACTTTCACTATGGTGCATAATTCTTGAGGAACATCCAGATTTTTCCACATAGCTATTTTTGGATTTCTTTTGATCTTACAAAGTACATATCTACTTAGTGTTTTATAATGATGAAATGTCCTTTTAAACTTAACAACATGTTGCTCAAGAAAGAAAATATTGTATTTTGTATTAAGGATGTTAGACTACGGTTTCTCAATCATGGTATTACACTCTAAGCATCTGAGGAACTTAAAAAATTCTGATGCCTGAGCCCTACTCCATAATTAAGTCAGAATCTCTGAGGGATTGGGCCTGGACATCAGAATGTTTTTTAAGGCTCAAGATTTGCATAGCAAAGGTTGAGAACTATGGATGTAACAATGATGTAAATTGACTACTGATGATAAAGTTATAGATATGGAATTTTTTTTAAAGTTTGTTTTCTGTTACAGCAATTGACATGTGGTCTGCAGGTGTCATATTCCTTTCTTTGCTTAGTGGGCGGTATCCATTTTATAAAGCAAGTGATGATTTAACTGCTTTGGCTCAAATTATGACAATTCGTGGATCCAGGGAAACTATCCAAGCAGCTAAAACTTTTGGTAAGCAGTTTTATATTATAGAACAAAAGAAATGCCTTTTTTAATTTCCTATAAATCAAATTATTAAGAAATTCTCTGATGTTATGTAGAAAATTTCTCTGTTGCTTGAAAACTAATAGCATTGTGTAAGAAAATAATTTATCCATTTTTCTTCTATATAATCATTTAATCTCAGCAAGCACAAAGTGCTATTTAAATATTTTAAAGTTCAGCTTTATAATCTTAAAAGGATAAGGAATAAAATCTTAACTCCCTGTAGTTATGGTTTGACTTTATTACATAAATATTTCTAATAGTATATGTTTTAGTTTATTATATGTTTATTAAGCATCAGGTGTTCTTGGGCTTGCCTTAATTGATCTTAGTTTATACTAACAAGTAAACAGTTAATTATGAGACAGAATAATAAGGACTCAGTAGGGAAGATAATAAAATGTGGGTTGTTAGGTTCCTTAGGGTTAGGGGAGCAAGGAAGAGAAATGTGCAGAACACCTTTGCTGATGGAGTATTATTTTAAGCATATAAATAATATGTTGTGGGAAGTCATCTCCTTAGTTACACAAGTTCTTATACTTCTAAGACTTCATGGGGCACCTGTGAATTCTCTCAACATTGTTCTGGCCAATGACTTTAACTCACATGTTCACCTTGTTTTTATTCTCCATGCACAGTTATAGTTAATATTTTCCAAAGTGGGTGGCTGTGATTGTACCACACAATATAGAATACCCCTGTGGGACAAAATTTCAAACAACCCACTTCATAAGTAGCTGGGCTGCCCTTGTGCCCAGCTCCAGGATCAGTAGGTCTTAATCGGGTCCATATCAGAATTATCTAAAGAACTTAAATACATATGCCTATCTCACTCTACTCCTTCCTGGGAAATAAGATTCAGGAAAATATGATACATAGGAAGGGCCTAGGCTTGTTAGTTTGGAAAAACAAGTGATTTAAACCAAGAACTACTTCTAAGAACCACTGCAAAAATGATTGCCCCTTACTTAGACACCATTGCTATGGTCTAATCCATCAGAAAAGCTTGGTGGTGGTTATGAAGAAAGCTCCGTGATGGAGGCTTACCAAAAAGTGTTTCTTCAGCAAAGTCAATCCACAACTTCTCACTTTCTTGCACCTACTATAAGAAAATGTTATCAAAGGATAATAGGTTGAAATAATACACATACACAAAGGGAAAATGACCATAAATGGAAAGCAAGATGGATTGATACCTTGGAAATTGTATTCTTACGTGAGTATGTTTACTCTCAACTGATGGAGAAAACTTTTCGTCTAGTGTTGAAAAACTTCATGAGAAGTTTATGAAGTTTATCAGAGAATGGACATCAAAACATTTTGTTGAAGAGCTTAACTCTCCCTTATCTGTAGTCAAAGTTATAATGAGGACCAACAATGGAAGCACAACAAGTGATGCAAAAGCATTTAAGGGCAAGTGTCATGATAGCAGGCCTAGGCTTTTAAAGATTTATCATCATAATGTTTGTTCTCAGAAACTAATAATGCCACATAGTTTTTGTCTCGGTTTATTAGTATGACTTCTGCAGCTGTTTCAGTCAAATCTACTATAACTTTGGGCTGAATACAGAAGGACTCAAAACTTCAGTAGTCACCTTTGTGTTCTCCTTTATGACCCAAAGAAATGACTTGCTTGGGATTAGCAGTGAGAGTACTTGTACTTCTCTTGTGTATAACGTGCCTCACTGTCCTCAACACCTAGACCTGGCCCCACTGTGGATTGTCATCAAGGACTCGTTATATCAAATAAATTCAAATGAAGGGCGCCTGGGTGGCTCAGTCAGTTAAGCAACTGACTTTGGCTCAGGTCACTATCTCACAGTTCGTGGGTCGAGCCCCACATTGGGCTCTGTGCTGACAGCTCAGAGCCTGGAACCTGCTTCAGATTCTGTGTCTCCCTCTCTGTTCCTCCCCTGCTCATTCTCTGTCTCTTCTGTGTCTCTCAAAAATAAATAAACGTTAAAAAAATTTTTAATAAAAAATTTAAAAGAAAAACCTTGAGCTAAAACAAATGCCTGACACTTGGTCTGTAACAAAATATTTTGATTGAATGTATTATTTTCCCTGAATGAGCCCTCCTTTGATCATGTGAAAAAATTTAAGCATGTTGTATAACTTAGGGAGATATTGTAATACATACTGTTACTTATTTCATAACTTCAGCATAGCCTATAAATTAATGAATAAAACTATATGACTATTCTCTTCTGCCTATAATTTTCTAGAGAGAATAAGAATGATAAAATAGATTTAGAGTAAAAAAGCATTGCCATGTTGTATCCTGAGCAGACTTAGTTTTTGGTCATTTGTTTTCCTTGGTCTCTTCCCTGCCTGCCACCTCCTCCTCCCTTCTTTCCCTGCCTTAGAACACCCAATCCAGTAGTTAGATCAGGACATGTAAAAGTAACTTTATAGCATCCAGAGCTAGATTGTTTTTTTAACAACCCATGTACCCCAGAAATCTGTATGCTGTGCTACTCCATTGTTTAGAGCCATATTTCTGTTTAATAAGGAAATATATAAGGCAAATACAATACACTTTTGCCTGTTTGTGTGCTTAGCTTATTTTTACCCATATGTGAATAATTCTGTCAGGAAATTGTTTCAGAGACATTTATATTTTTAAAAACTAAGATCTGGCTTATTAACTCATTCAGAAACATTTATTGGGACTTTATGTGGCCCAGGTAGTATTGTTGAATCTGTTCTTACAGAACTTAAATTCTAGCCGGGGAGACAAATCTGTCAGACAAATGAGTAGTATTGAGAAAGATAAAAGGAGAAAGGGAGAGAAGAGGGCTCAGCTGTTTCAGATGGGTCGGTCAAGGACCCAAGTGTCTGTCAGGATGTGATACTTGAACAATGACCTGAGAGACTGAATAAAGCTTTTTTATCCAGTCCAGCCACCATTAATTGAGGACCTAGTATGTACTAGACATTGTCTAGGCTTTGAGGATTCAAAAGTAAATAAAATAGACCCTGTCTTCAAAGAGCTCAGAGTCTAGTAGGGGAGACAGCTCTACAGGTACAATACAGGCTAACAAAAGTAATAGAAATTTTCACAGTTTGCAACACAAGTTTAGAATGTTCAATTCTGTCAGAGTGTCAGGCCTCACAGAGGCCTGAAGCTGAGTGAGGTTATAAGTTGGAGTATCCCGAGCACATGGGGGAGCACAGGGGATCCTAGGCAAAGACAGGAACCATATAGCCAGAGGAATGTAAAAGCTAGGAAGGGGGAGAGGGAACAGGAGCTGCAGCTGAGGAAAGATTACAGAAGGATATGGTGAAGCTGAAGGAGTTGACAGTCAAGTGAGTCCCTTACATAGCTTAGTAAGTCACTGCTTTCTACTTACCACCGCCCACTTTATGATTTGACCTTCAACTATGTAGTACAAGACACAAATATTAGCATGTGGTACTCTAGCTCTTATGCAGGGCAAATATATCCCCAAAGCACACAATTGGGCATGGATGTTTCCCATTAGAGAGGCTTCTGGTATACTCAAATAATGTACATGTATTTATTCTTTTTTAGGCAAGTCGATATTGTGTAGCAAAGAAGTCCCAGCACAAGACTTGAGAAAACTTTGTGAGAAGCTCAGAGGTATAGATTCTAACACTCTGAAATTAACAAGCGGTGTACAAGGGCCTGCTTCTCGTGACCCAACATTTTCAGAGAAGACTGACCATAAAGTTTCTCACCTTATACAAACACCTGAAACACAGCATTCAGGAAATTCATTGTATAAAGGAGACAGTAATGGCTGTGGGGGTGGTTTGGATACAGATACTACCAATTTAGCAGGCTGGAATGAGGTACCTGATGAAGCTTATGACCTGCTTGATAAACTTCTAGATCTAAATCCAGCTTCAAGAATAACAGCTGAAGAGGCTTTGTTGCACCCTTTTTTTAAAGATATGAGCTTGTGATTATCGTTCCTTATTTATAATGTTTGCTATTGTGTATTATGAGATGGGGTGAAAAAGAGTTTTTTGTAATAGCCATAAGTTCTTGATTAGAGACCAGGGCAGGATGAATAATTTATTTTAAAATTTTAGTATTTGCTGTCTGGCAAATGCTGAAATACGGACTACGATCAAAGATGCCTAGGATAGTTCTTAGGGCTAACTACATGATCTTTGAGTTAGATCTACCCAAGTAGAACTAGATCTTCAGCTTCCTTAATTACTTGTCACTGCCATATGCAGAGAAAGAAGCTATTTTAGCCTTAGTACATAGAGGTTTGAGGTACAAATCTTAAAATTAATGGATGTGATCTTAAAATTAATGGATGTAATGGGGACTAAATGAGTCAAAAGACTTACTTTATTGGTTTCTTTAAGCAATGAGCTATGAGTTTTTAGAAAACTCAACCTGGTGTTGGTGCTCTAACCATTCTATAGGTAAAGGCGATCATTTCCTCTTCTAGAGGCATATATTACACCTTTTATGAACACTAAAATAACTAATGAGAAAATGTTGGAGGTAGTACCACTTAAAATTGAATTTATCCATTTTTTAATGTATTTTGTTAAAGTATTTTTTGTGTGAATTGCCACATTAATGGTTTCTCTCTTGATTTTCTTGCCTTCTCTACCCGCACCTAAATTCTCCCTGAAAATAACATGGTGCTTTCCACAAAGTTTCTGTGTGCTTTGTTAAATATTGCACGTGTTTACAGTTGGGTACTTCATGCATACACGGATTGATTAAAGGAAAGCTGCAGGGCCAAGGTGAAGACTGATAATCCAAAATGCTTTTATTTTTCTCACCATCCTAGGTGTAATTAGGTAGCTGCTAAAAGGAAAAGTGAATACAGCTTTGAGAAGATTATTGGAGAGTCTTTCCTCTGAGTGGAGCCATCAGGATCTCTATATCCTATTGTAAATAAGTTGCTCCTGCTCAAAGAAGATTGATTACTACAGTCTTGGGCAGATTGGGAAGAGAGATAATGAAGTGGGCAGAGTAGAAGAGGACCAGAGGTAGAGACTTATGAATTACTACATTCCAAAATGATATATATCAGTGACAGCATATCAAACTCTTTGTGTGAAATAAGTTTGGGTGTGTGGATCCACGGAGAAGTTTCCCATTTAGTAAGGATAGAATATAGAAACAGCTTATGGATACAGAACATTTTGTTATTTTGTACATTCAAGTCAGTGTGTCTGCCTACTCTGTTAAGTATGGCATATGTTTAGCCATTACCACTGATGTACTCGCTCTTCTCATACTATAATCTTTAAAAAAAAAAACTTGAATGTTCTTGAATTTGTATGTTTAATAAAGTTATTCTTCAAACTATTTGAAAAATACCTCTTTTTAAAAACACATTTGTCACTGGAAATATTTTCCTCTTGAGACTAATGAATGCTGTCTCTCCAGCAAATAGTAGACAGATTAACAAAAATTGACCTGGCTCAACAAATATATGAAAAATGGAAGTAGATTGTTTTATAGAAAAGGTGCTCATTGACCTCATTTATAGGAAATTTGTCACAAAATAGTAAAACAATAAGTCATCTCAGTAACAAGTCTTAGCTAAAAAAAATTTTCTTGGTGTGATTCACAATCAAGTTAACATATTCTAAGAAAATTAATGAAGAAAAATTTAACTACCAAAAGTGCAGGGAAGGAGACATTCTCTAAGAGAATTTAATATCTAAGAAAGAACATTTCAGGGCACCTGGGTGGCTCACTTGGTTAAGCATCCGACTTCAGGTCATGATACATGGTTCGTGGGTTCAAGCCCCTCATCAGGCTCTGTGTTGACAGCTCGGAGCCTGGAGCCTGCTTCACATTCTGTGTCTGCCTCTCTCTGTCCCTCCCCTGCTCACACTCGGTCTCTCTCAAAAATAAACAAACATTAAAAGAAAAAAAATTTTTCCACTTTTTATCAATATCACTGTTAGAATAGAACTTGGTTGATATGGAAGGGGAGGTGAGAGGTAAAAGGGAGCCAGTGCTATAAATCAGTTCTTGGGGGTCTCAGTCCCACTAGAGAATCTTGCCTCCATCTGTGGTGCTGTATAGGCAGAAATTAATAAGGAGCTTCCATACACGTTCTTCCAAGTTTTTCAGCCTTCTAAACACCATTTTATAATGGCGGATATCGCCCTACAAGATTTTAGTCAAAATAGTCATTTCTAGGGAAAGGTTAAGAAGGTAACTAGTTAATGCCATTTCCTATTATGATGGAAGTTCCCAGAATATTCAGCTATTTTTCATTGTCAGCTTTTTAAAATTCTTATTGCTCACACTATTGAGATAAAACTGTTAAGGGTGTTTTCATTTAATAAGGCTTAGACATTTAGAACTATTAATATAACAAACTACAAGTGTTGGTTTTTGAAACAGATTGCAGCTCTCTAGCATTTTTAATGAAACTTTTCCTTATATGGAGATGATTATGGTTGTCTTAATGACCTAAATAAAAATGTGGCTCAACAATGATTATTCCAAAGAATTAAACTTAGTTTGTTTCAAAATCTGAACAAAAGTCATCAAGTGATGTTAATCTCATGTTTCTGGCATTAGCATTTTAGGAACAAAATGGTGTTACAGATGTCAGAAAATTGATTGCATAAAATCTTGAAACCCACAAAACATGTAGGCTTAGGTCTTAGTAATTTCTGCTGTTTATGTAGTTTCAGCCCTACGCGTCACCGAGAAGTTATTTATCTTAAGAAACTGTGGCCAAATTTGGCGGGTAATGCTGTCTGCCAGTGTCTGCAGATGTATTGTTTCCGCCTACATTTGTGCGTGCCGTCTGTGGTCTTTAAAGAACACTATCTAACATTCGGCAGAAATGTCAACTCAACTGTTCAGATTTTTTTCTCTGTTCTAAGAACTGATGTTGCCATTTCCTAATTTTGTCAAATTCTGTTTGAACTGCCTGCCTTTCTTGAAAGGTGGGTATTATCACCCATGTGATAGATAAGTAATCAGAAGTAGTTAATGCTGTGTCAAATTACAGCAAGATTTTCAACAAAGTAACCACAAAGGTCAGTGCTAAGGCAAGTATTTACTAAATAATGACATTTTAGGTATCTAAAATGAAAAGACATTATTTTAGGAAAGCAGTTGCAGGTTGGATGAGAAGTTCAGAAAAGTGAAGGCAAAAGCTTAATGTGACCTAAATTTTTCTCAATAGAAGAAAATGCATTAGAAGAATAAATTGTCCTTGACAACTGTTTTAAGTGTTTTAAAAAATTAATAAAATAATGTATGGAAAAGAATTCAAAAGGATAAGTAAAAATCTCATGGGTGTGTGTGTGTGTGTACATAGCTTTCCTAAGGCAGGGAAGAGGACTAGAAAACAGTTGTAAGTGGTTTAGAATTCAGATTTAAGAATAGACCATGTGCAAGTGCCATTTTAAGTTTAACACACCATCCCAGCCCTTAAAGTGGATTCCATCTTGGACCCTACTGAAGCAATTTGAGAAAAGTAGCAAGTTTAGCACTAGAAAATTTAATACTATCTTATGAAGGAAAACAGAATAAATAACTTCTAGATTCATCTCTAATTCTAGATTTAGAGAAGGCAAGTGTCACTCCCTCTAGTAGGAAACCCAAAATGAATCAAGGGATGGGCTTTTGACACCTGAAATCAACAGAAAAAGCACTGTCAGCTGGTGAATGAGTTGCAGAAATCAGAAAATGCAAGAGCCACCTTATAATTTCTTTCCAATCAGAATTTTTGTATATATTCCTTACCTACATTCTACTGATGTGTTTTTATAGGTGTATAATTATGTATTCATCTTTTGTATAAATTTCTTCTGTAACTTCTGTTAAGACTAGAAATGACTCCAGCTCAGACAAGACTAAGACAGTAGATCAGAAGCAGACGTAGGGCTATGTAGCCTCACATTGTTTTTTTAGCTCCATCCATAAGCAAAAGGAGGGGAATCCAGCCACCTCCAGATTTCTCTAGATACTCACTTTAATGCTTTTTTGCCCATAAGTTTCTGTATTTCTTCTGGCATGTAGCTGGTCTTCCTACACTCAAATATTCTGGTTAAAAACAAAACCAGCCCCACTGTGTGTGTGTGTGTGTGTGTGTGTGTGTGTGTGTGTGTGTGTGAGTAATCTTTAGACAAATATTAGCAATACTCCTTTACAGTTTTCCCCCAAGTTTTGTGAAATGAAAGCCTGGTGTTTCTGTGAGTGTCCTGTGTTTTTAAGTTCTTATTTTATTTTAATGTTTGTTTATTTTTGAGAGGGGGGAGGTGCAGAGAGAGGGAGACACACAATCCGATGCAGGCTCCACGCTGTGAGCTGTCAGCACAGAGCCTGACATGGGGCTCTAACTCACAAATTGCTAGATCATGACCTGAGCCAGAGTTGGACACTTAACTGAGCCACCCAGGGGTCCCTAACTTCTTAAAACTCCACAGATAAATGGCATATGAAATGTGTACACTCAAAAAATAGAAACTCATTATCACTTTTATGTGTAAAAATAAAGAGCAGCATCTTATATCTCTATTGTGTGTTTTGAGGAAGCATCTTTCTTATTTGTCCCTATGCAGTATGAAGACTAGGCCTGGCATTTACTGAGCAAGCATTCAATAAATATTTGTTAACTGAATATATTTAAGTTACATTTAATTAATTTGCTTTCCTGGCAAGATATTAAGCCAAAAACCTCTGTTAATAAGGATGCCTATTCTCTTAAGTTTGGTACAATTTACTTGATAGGGAGTGACACAAAAATGAAACGCCTCATTCCTTTTTACATAATCTCTTTTCAGTAGACTGTCTCTGCCCACTCCCATTACCTCCCCAAAATACGTAATTTAAATGAAAGCAGTATTTTGATTGCAGGACTTAGGTTCAGAAGAGACCTAAAGGAGCCTTTGGACTTTTAGTTGCTGTTACCTACAACCCCTTTCCCTCCTGCGTATCCCAAATGTGTTCTTAGTAG